AGATAGTCATTAAGCACCAAGTTCCAAACTTCTCAAGAAGACAGTGCTATTTCTTTCACAACTTCAGTAGCTTCCTCAGGAGCACATGAAATGATGAATATAAATTAGCAAAAACTCCTTCCAGTTGAGCTTGATCCTGCCAAATTTTTGGAGACATCCATGTAGTTTCCTGGCTAAAACAGGGCAGTGATTTGATATTGCTTTCTTTGAGGATTTTTATTTTGTTTTAAACTTCCCAGATAATCTTAGAGCTCTGAGATGTTCTGGTGGCCTCTCATGTATTGTAAATAGGAACCAGATATGACCTTCTTAAATATTTTGAACTCAAAGTTATTGAGGTAATGCAACCTCTTTCTTTAGACTTAAAACAAAATGGAAAATTAGTCAGGTGCTTCATCATATCACATGGGGGTTTGGGGAACCTGTAATGAGCAGCTAATCTTATCATATATTACATATTGCTTTGTATATATAGGTATTGCCCCAAAGGATATTCTGAAGAACAATATTCACAACTGTATATCTGAAATTGTTTGCCCTGGAGTGAGACATCTATCATATCGAAGGAACAAAATAACTTTGAAGATAAGCTTTGGGAGGATACAATGATCCATGGCTCATTAGTGGAATGTATCCTAGACCAATGATCCACCAAACTATGTTTTGGGTTAGGTAAAGGGTGTTTTCAGTAGAAGTAAGGCACAGTATATATCATTTGAGATCAGGAAGTGCTATTCGCCAATCTTGAAGTTTTTCAATAAAGAAGAAAGATTTACACTCAAGAAGGGACATGTGGATTTGCTCAATATCTCTGATAGAATTGTCTCTGAAGTTTCTATCTGGATTCTACAGTCTTTAGCTGAATATGGTGGTGGAGAAGTAACATGAGAGACCTGCATTTTTTTTTTCCAGCTAAGAATCCCAAACAGAGTTCCTCAGGGACATCAGTGTAGCTCCTTAGAGCAAATACTATTTTCTCTTAGCTGCCTTTTCCAGGTCTCAGGGAAAGAAGCATTTCTC